TATATCTCTTTCTGTGTGGCATAGATATACCTATCTCCAAGAGATTTCACACTATTTATTTATCTAGATACAGGCACTACATAAAATGCACAGCTTAGTGCAGCAGCCGCTAGAAGAACCGACTGTTAAACCTTTTGTTGGCAAATAAAATACTTTTTATTTTTCTAGAATGGGAACCACGACCAAAGCCGTTTGGCTTCACGACATGGCACGAACCGCGTAGACGCCATGAACATGCTCGCGCTACTGCTGCCCGGAGTTACCATTACCTACCAGGTACGTACTTACAAGGCCATACAGGGTATAACAGACTCGCTTGATAGACCTATAAAATAGAACAATGAATCAAGGCCCGATTTGACCAAACTTTTATCCGAGAATAACTAACTCCTGGTTTATCTGGCACATTGACAGTTTCAGTAAGTATGGGAAATATTTCAAAACTGACCATTTATTCTGAGATTAATATTTACTCTTGTTTGGTCGAATCCAACCTTAGTTATTAAATTTTCTTAGGGTTTAGACTCGCTTCTCAAACAAAAATATAAATAACTTGAAAAAATCGAACTGTCTAAGGCGGGAATCTGGCCGCAACAGCGCAACATTACCTACATTTGAAAATTTCGACTGATTCATCCAATGTCTAAGTAGCTCAGATTGAAGAGCAGTCGCCCGGCAAGCGAAAGGTCGTGAGTTCGATAATAATAGAACATTGTTTAACTACGCACGCACGGTATACCTTCACAGGGGTTACCTACGCCATATCGAATGACAAATGATCGAAAATCAAAATATCGAATACGTTTCATCGAACGATCAAAATATCGAACGATCAAAATATCGAATGCTCAAAATATCGAACGTTCAGAATATCGAACGATCAAAATATCGAACGATCAAAATATCGAACGATCAAAATATCGAAAGTCGATATAGACGTTTTTATTTTTCATCTACCTTCCTCGGCTCCTTGCTGAAGCGTTGTTATTGCCGTACTGCTACAAATGAAATTTATATTTCTGTGTACAATACCAATAGAATGTTTCATCAACATTTTTGTTCATTGCCATTACAAAGCCCTCCAAAATGAGGACTGTTTTTCCTTTTTGGGATAGGCTAGGCTTATAATAGGTCCCCACGGACATTATTCTCCAAATTTATAAACTTTTCAGGCACAAAAATACTTAAGGCACACATTAACTGGCAAAACAAAACTGTACGATCAAACACAACCATGCACCGGAGCCGAGCAAGGTAGATGAATTAAATAAAAACGTCTATATCGACTTTCGATATTTTGATCGTTCGATATTTTGATCGTTCGATATTTTGATCGTTCGATATTCTGAACGTTCGATATTTTGAGCATTCGATATTTTGATCGTTCGATATATTGATCGTTCGATGAAAAGTATTCGATATTTTGATTTTCGATCATTTGTCATTCGATATGGCGTAGGTAACCCCCTTCACAGAGCTTCTCGATCTACGATAATATTGTAATTAACCACCACCATAATTAATAACCAGGGTGAAGAAATCGGCATGACCGACGGCTATGTATCCTGGGAGGACACCAAAGACCCCCAAGCTTGCAACACAGACGACCCAATCAACTACTACAAGAAGTCGCGCGACCCCAACCGCACTCCCTATCACTGGGACGATTCGAACCAAGCTGGCTTCTCCACCGCCAATCAAACCTGGCTGCCGGTCGCGGATAACTACAAAACTGTTAACCTGGCCAGCCAGATGAAAGCTTCGAAGAGCCATTATAAGGCAAGTTGAACACTGAATTCAATCAGTTCAATGTATGAAAAAATTTTCCTCTCCATGGAGCTAGGTCCGATGGTAGCGCGTAACCTCTTGGTGTGAACATTGGTGTATCTATAAAACGAATGAACAATAAAGCTATTTTAAAATTCACTAGTAGCCTTCTGAAATACCTACATTGGTGTTATACACTGATAGACAGTGAAAAAAATGGTATACCATTGAATACCAATCACATCTAAGCAGATAAAAAGTTTCAAATGTTAACATCCTCAGTGCCAGTATATAATTTTTGCACACGCATTTCTCACATGAATAATCTTTTTACAGTTCTACAAAGATGTGGTAGCTGTCAAGAAGAGTGACGCTGTTCGTTTTGGAGATTTGGACACAAGAGCGTTTTCGGAAAACATCCTTGTTGTTACAAGGTAGGTGTAGGTACAGTTGACAGTCCATCTAAAATCCTAGTGGTTTTACATACTCATTATAAATTATTTTGTTCACAGATTAGCGCACCTGAATCCTGGTATTGTGGGTATAGTGAACCTTTCTGATGAGGACCAGGTTGTGGACTTGAGCTCAATCAAGATGCTGCCTGGTCACCTGCTGTATGTGGCTGCTTCTGGAGTTGACTGCTCACTTGACAAGTGGTAAGTTAATTTTTTGCAATTTACTATCATTTTTTATTACTTGTTGACTGCAGAAATTGAGTTATTAAGATTTTCTACAGCAGTCAAACAGAATAGTGGCGAAAAAAATATTATTTAGCCGATAAAGTTTGTGAACTTATAAAGTATTCTAGAAAGAGTAGTTATCCCAACTAATATTATAAATGCGAAAGTAACTCTGTCTGTTACGCTTTCCCGCTTAAACCTCGCAACCGATTTTGATGAAATTTGGCATAGAGATAGTTTGAGTCCCGGGAAAGAACATAGGATAGTTTTTATCCCGGTTTTTGAAACAGGGACGCGCGCGATAAAGTTTTTCTGTGACAGACAAAATTCCACGCGGGCGAAGCCGCGGGCGGAAAGCTAGTTATTGAATATATTATTTCTTTTCTATTACAGGCAAATTGTGTTGAAGAACCAGGTTACCGTGTCAGGTCACTGCGCTATCGTCCTCAGGACCCTATTATTCAATTGCTGATTCAACTGAAACACTTATACATACTACTATGTACTACCTGACCAATATATGCAATAATTAAAGTACAGTTTTGTTTTATTTACTGATATATTTACAAGATAAGTTACATTCTTTCACTCAAACATCTATTCTAAAAGTCCATAGCTCCTTCCAAGAAACACAAGCAGTCAACTTTGTTTACAATTAAATCTAGATCTTTCTTCGATATTGTTTTCCGCTTGTTTGCTATTGTGTATGCATATGTTTCCTTTGCAATTGTTTCCAAAAATAATTCCTGAAATAAGCAAAATTAAGATAATTAGAAAGTCATGGAGATGAAGAAGAAATTATATACATGTACTATTATACTTATGTAGAGGTAATGAAAGTAGATAGGTATTTGGACTATGTTAAGTAATCATTTTGCATGGAAGAGTAAAAATTTACCTCAGGTAGGTCTGGGAACAGCAAGATAATGTAGGTTAACTTTATTGTCCGAGTCAAATGTAAGATGACCTGATGGCAACTTGGAATATACCTCAAAAATGAGTAATTGATTACTTACCGTAGCTTTTGTAACTAAGAATACAGCATCGCCGGAGATAACACTAACATCTGGGTCCATTTTCATGATGTTCTTTATCCTAGCCATGGGCAACCTCGTTGTCCTAATAACCTCGCTTTTGTTCACCGAATTCGTTGTTTTCTTCTCAGTTAATAGTGGTTCTTCTGAATTTACAGGCTCTGAATCGTGGGTCGAATACGGATTCTCAGCTAGATCGAGTGTTTCGGCGTTTGGAGGTTCACTTTCAACATAATGTTCACTATCGTCTATCATGTCCGATAAATCAACATCTGTATAGTTTTCTTCTTCAGTCATTTTAATAAAAATAAACTGACTGTAGTAAAACAGGAAAAAGGAATGAAATTTTCAGCAGAAATGGGAAAAAACCGCGCAAAACAACCAACAACAAATCAAGCCGTCAACTGTCAATGTCAGTGTCAGAATGACATGTGGTTGTCAAATTTTACAGTTTTTTTTTATTACACGCAAAGGAAGCTACCATATCGGTATTATCGGTATCTTTTTATTTTCAAAAGTAACGTTACATATTTGTATCTCTTTTACGCAAAAACTACTGAACGGATTTCGATGTAACTTTACAGTATTATTATTTATAACCCAGAATAACATAAATGCTATAATTTATGACGATCTGTGACACTAAATTTCACGCGGGTGAAGCCGCGGGCAAAAGCTAGTTACCAATAAAACTGCAAAGCCAAAAAACAAAGCTAGTAGGTAGCTTTCACTGGGAGGGAATTAGTCTTAGAGAGCGCAGAGGGCCAGAGGGTTCTTGGTATCTTTTTTTTTGCCTTTCTTCGGTGTAGAAGTTTTTTGAATGAACAGATTCAAGTAATGCATATAAATCTTTTTATTTTAATCCAACTGAGAATCGAACCTGATCCCTGTCTGTTTTAACACTGCCCCTGTCGATGCCGCCCTGCATGTATTTTATTGTTCTTTGACCGGAAAAGATATGAAAAATATTTTTTCCTATTTCACTGCACAAGAATTAGGATATAGGCAAAGTGAATAAAACACAGTTTAAATTGTAATAAAATATAATTATCAGTTCGTGTTGAGTATCAAAACAATATTTATCATAATCGATATTATATACAGACATAAACAACGCAACTATACAAGATATAACATTACAGTTACTTAAGTAATTTACTATACAGTCTGCGTAGGTATCTTAGGATAAAAGGCTGGCTGGGTGAGTAGGCCTAATTGTTGATCCAAGAAAACAATAACAAGTGCTAATAATTTGATTGTGTAAGTATGTAGGTATATTATGCAATTTCATCTTTTTATGCAAGTAGGTACCCACATAATTTAATCTGGTATCTTGAACCTTCGCCTTTTCTACCCTAGGGAGAATTGCGTGACGATAATCTTAGAGAAGAACGAAGTTTCATAACCAGATATTTATGCAAGTGCCTAAATACTTCCATGATCCTAATTCCTAGGTAGAATTAGCTACCTCCTATAAAGTCACATCACATTTACCTATTGTGTCAAATATTTTATTTACTTCTGTCCAAAGAATGCCCACTAATATCATATCAATACCAATTTATTATAACATCAAGTTTATTCGCAACTCGACAGTAAGATTTTACCTAAACGGTAAATAGGTACCTATTAGCTAGGTACCTACCTTTTAAGTTTTTAGTTTAAAAAAAATTATACTCATTATAAAAACAAATCGATGGTATTACTTTGTACTTGTAGGTAGTTGTATTATTTTGTTCTTGGATCGATATAGTTTAATTGCATACCTACTTAAAATTTTAAAAACTTCATTGTAACATTGTTTCATTTAAGATATTTTCTCCAATCTTAAGGCACTTCATTCCTTTTAAGCAATAATTTTATCATGCTTGTTGGCATTCTTTTCACTTTTCAAACCATATCTTTCAGACAAAATTGCAAACCCATTGGAATTTCGGGCATTTTTGTCTAACTTTATTTAGGTACCTAGTTTAGAATATTATTCAAATTATAACAAAGTTTCATTTTCAGAATAATATCTTCTTCCAAGTTAGAAACACTAGAATGTACAAGTGCCACTGGTAGGTAAAATTACAGGAACATACAGTTAATAAATAAACATAAAGCTTCATAAGACTCTATGAAGAGTCTTCTGTCTCCAAGAGCGTGCCGTCGCGTCGTCCCGTGAAGTTTTACGTAAGATCTAGCGTATGTTTTCGCCAACTCAGCAAATAATTTATTAGGTTTCGACCATCCCGGGTCATGATTTGATTGCCTGGATTAACTGGTCGGAGCGTCTTGCAGTTCTTCGTCGTCAGACGTTGCAACATTAGGCTAGTTTAAACAAAATAGTCTCTTCCAAAAAGGTCTTTTGGTCTGATACACTGGCAGGCCAGCCAGGATGGCGGCGTCGAAGGCGTCCTTCAGTTGTTTCCTGGTCTTCGCTGACGTCTCCACGTAGACCGCGTTTATCTTGGCGGCTAGTGCTCGGGCCTCCGTCTCCGTAACTGGGTGTTCCCCTCGCGCCTGGAAAAATGGAGAAGTCCATTATTAGTGCTGTTAATCTTTGAATTTAGAATTGAAAGAGGATCGATTCGAGATTGACACGACAAACTTGGCACGAATTCATTGAACTAACTAAAATAACAATGGAAAATGTTTCAGTTACTATGTCTACACGACTGTCTGTTTAATAACACCTCTACTAAGTACTCAGTCAGGTCAAGATAAACAAACGTGAATCAGGTACTTTAAAATACGTAATAACATAATGTACCTATTTGTTCTCTGGCGGCGTTCTTTGAAGTGGTATCTTCAGACTGGGTTATTGGTGACGCACTCGATATCCAAATACCTGAACGGTTTTGTCATGGGATATGAATATGAAGAACTTCCTTTAAAATGATGATTGAACAAGGATGCAATGACGCTTCACTTTCCTATCCTACCTAGCATATTTATGAAGATTACACGTCATCCTCGCTACTTAATTATCAACTTTTCTGCTAGGTGTTCTGTTTTAGAAATAAAAAGAGAAAAGTGAAGCTTATTTTGACAATCGAGATCGTCACGTTATTGTCAATTCGAATTCAAGCAACGAATTTTATTTCACCGAGAATTTGGTAGTGAGAAGGTTGAATATTACACAATCGATTCGAAGACGAGAGTTTTTCGAGCTAGAGGTACGAGCTAAAAAAGTAGAGAATTTTGTCAATTTTGGTCTACATCCGATAAGGAGAGACGTAGAGTTCGTGATATCATGCGCTCTGCGGAGTTGAGTAGACAGACAGTACCTACTTGCAATAAGGTGAGAGTCATCAAACGACAATTTACCTATTTCATCGTTTATGACCAAGTCGTTTGGGTCAAAAGATAAACAGATTTACTGCTTGTTTGTACCCAATTATCTTGGCCAATAAATTAACACGTTAGATGGCGTGCTTATCGACGTCTATGCGTCAGGTCCATAAACGGTATCACGACTGCATTATTAGATACAAAATTTAATAACCTTTTCAATGAGATTATAAGATGTTATTTATTGATTTCAATAGTGCCTATTACAGAATCGAATCGGCAGATTCGAGATTTCCGAGCCGAAGCTGAGCAGAGAGGTGATGTAGAAAAATAGCGAAATCTAAGTAATTAGTTTTTTATTTAAATCATCATCATCATTATCAACAGCCCTCTACAGTCCACTGCTGGACTATGAGCCTTTCTTCTCATTCTTTCTTTCTTTCTTTTGATTACATATTTCCTCTCATTTCTACTTTGGTGGAAACCGGGCCTAAGCCTTACGTCCAGCTGCATGAGTGGACTGTTTTGCTCTATGTTTGTTTTGTTGCCTACTTTTTTCTGTCTTATTACCAAAATACAAAAGTTCTTTCTATATTTCACTTACTCGCAACGACTGCAGCACCCGCGGGTCCAAGGCCAGGTCGCTCTGGGTGCCGACCAGCACCAGCGGCGCCTGCACCCCGGCCACGGCACGCGTCCACCGTTCGGCCACGGAACGGAACGTCTCCGGACGCACCACGGAGAAGCACAGCATCAGCACGTCGGTGCCGGGGTAGCACAGCGCGCGGAGCTCGGACATGGAGTCCTGGAATTAGAGAAAAGGTATGATTAAGCAAGATTAATAACATCATAGCCGACTGTCATCCACTGCACTGGATATCTTAACTTAGAAGTCCTCCTGTATTTTTCTGATAAATTTCGTTGCGGGTCCTGATAGTTTAATTTTCCCCCTCGACAAACTTGACCTTCACTGGTTGGATTTTTTTGGCGGTCAAGCTGTAGATCCTGGCTACACAGGAGTTGCAGCGGTGGGAACGAGAAGTGGGAACAATCCTGTTTAGACATTGTCATTCATCCCTTTAACAGGCGCCTTAAGCAATTTAACTTGTCTTCAGCTTGTCGCTTTCAGAATATTCTAACTATCACTAAAACCTGCGATTCAGTTCTGTGATCACCTAAATAGGCATAGTCAAAAAGTCAATTATATGCCTAGGAATGTTCACGCTAATATATGCGATTTATACTATGGTAGTTAGGTAGTTACGTAGGTATTGAGGAGCTTGAGCAAAAAAATATTAGGTAGGTCGGTCGGTAATTGTACTGTAGGTTCTTATCCAACGACCTTCTCTTAAACCATGCCTTCGCGTTGCACTATAATGCAAAACAGGAGAAAGTTTATTATCTTATCTTTCCTGTCACTTACGCAACCTAAGCCTGGGACTTAAATGTAGAGACGACTGGTGATAGCGTTAAAAATATGCCCTTTACTATCTGCCTACTTACGGGCAGCATCTACCTACTTTGTTTCTTGAATCAGTCAAATACTGGTATCCCCAAGTAATCAAGTATGCTCGTAGGGCAATCACAAGTTATCAGGCATGTGTTATTCAAACATACCCGCGTATGTGTTCTACTTCTATCATGCGGGTTGTCAACAATGACGTCACAATCCTATTGTCTGACTTTGAACACAGTTATTCTTCTGACATAGGTCAGGCGCAAAACTCTTTTAAGACAATCAGGTTTATTCAAGCCTAAGGATATCATATACTACCTACAAAGCCAGGCCAACTACACCCTAACAAAGTATCCAAAGAGTCTAGTAAGTACATTATAGAGAAATGTCCGTTATTCTGTTACGGAGGCCCGTAAGTTACTAACCAATAATACCAGCTCATCAAGTGTTACGAAACTAATTCCTCGACTCGCATTCGGCAGACATCTTGGCGTCGGCAAATTGCTAAACCGGTCACTCGGCAACGGCGTTAGATTGAATAGCCATAATTAGTTTATGTCGATACAATACGTGTACAGTCATGATGTTAGGTATAGATAATTTTACGTAACTAGCATAGGAAAGCTGGAAAAATGTGCATGTGTGTGAGGATTCACGAAATTCTAAGGCATTCTTGGGTCTGCGTCCGTCATAAGGAAGACGTACAAGCAACAAGTGATCATCTGTTGCCTTGCAAACAAATATCTGGTACAGGTACCTCATTCATTTAGAAAAACTAACAGTAAATAGTTGGCAATTGTCTTTTTTATCAGACGGAAAGAATATTAGGATAAGTTATGATTTGCATCTCATCTAAATGGGTTGTCAAGTTCATTGCGCAAGAGCTGTCCGAAAATATCACCAAACCATCGATCAGTGAGAGCGAGTGCTAACTAAAAACGTCGGCGACCGCTATGGGTGAAAGTCGAACCATTGATTTGCCGACAACCAACAATTGAAGAACATTTCGGGTTGCCTAATATATCAACCGTGGTTGTGCAATAACTCCCTTCGCTTCGATCGAGTCTCATTCAGAACGAGATTGCATATTGATTGTATGATTTTGGTTGCAAATTATTAGGTGTTCTTGCTTTTATTGTTATGACCACCTAAGTTCATCTAACTACTGTAGGGTTACTGCAGCCAGTTTTTGTTATTAGATTGGTACGTCCGGTAACGTCCGGTTCTCTTTCTGTTATGGAAACAAAATCATGACAATGGTTAGTAAAGATAAAACATGAAAGTTTAGAAAGTGATTTTAAACAGATGTGATTTTATGAAATGGGTACACGATTCAAGTACTTCATAGGTGGTCCGTTTTCATATATTTTTTAATTGATTACCTAGTCTAAACATTCTCCGTAGACAGTAGAAGACAGTGAGAGAGAGTCTGGATTACAGCCATTGTAGGTATGTAAGGATTCCTCTGGGACGCTTTCGTTTCATTACCAAACCAATTTGTAGAATGTACAGTCTAAAGTATTGTCTACAACAAGTGGATAGTTTATTGATAAAAATGAGGGATATATTCCGATTTTTTACTGGGACTTATCTACATGTTACTGTAGTTTTCATGATGGTAATGGTAACTCCATTCTACCATTAAGTAGAGTCCAAAATCTCAATATTTTACTTATGAATTTAACAGGTTTGTGTGCCGCATTTAGTACTTCTAGCGTTCTATAGCTAGCATAGCTGCAATCCATCATTGCACAAGGTAATTTCAGGTAGCTAGCCCCTTCTGTAACTACGGGTGACTTTCCCACTATCAGTTATGCATAAATAAATATTAGCTTTCTGATTAATATATTGGCTTGACAGAATGTGGACGTCGGGTAAATAGTGGGTCACGCAGATAATTCGTAATTTATTGTCAGATAAATTAATAAGATACTATTCTCCGATGTATTACCTTGATACACTATCTTCCATCCGCTCTACATTTTACTATTTACGGACTGGAGAGACCTTGCGTAGGATTGATTTAGGACTCTAGCCAAGAAGCTAATAAATATATTTACTAAAATAACATTAATACTTATTTAGTCTTCGTTTCGCAGTTTTACAGATCCTACGAATTTAACAATTACTTACGTTTACTTACTTCAATTAGTTTCGTTTGTCTTTCTGACTTAAAAGATCCAATTAGTGTTATTTGATAGTTTGTAAGTAAAAACTTGAAACAAATTAGTAGGTAAGTACATAATATAATTTATGACAATCGGGATTGTCGATGAGTTAAAATGATGTTTCCAAGTCATTTTCGGTTTTCCATAGGAAAATTTTCTGAAAAAGGATACTATATTTATGTAAGTAATTTATTAAAATAATTCATTACAAAATTCCAAGTGTATTGCACAGCTACCGTCAGTTGGTCTGTCTGTCACCGTGCAATGCGGTCTGATAAACATAATAATGGCCGAAGCCCGTCAGTCAGCGTTTATCGGCTTCTTGCCCAATCGGCGTTCATTTGCTAATGGGACCCTAATGACTGCTCTTACAAGTTTTAACAAGGTGTTTGGTAACAGACAAGAGCACCAAACAAAGGATAAGTAGGTACTGCTGAAAGATGTTTTCATTATTTTGTGTATTTTATATTACCTTACTTACCACTAAGGTAAATTATTCATTATCATCATCATTATCAGCCATAGGACGTCCACTGCTGAACATGGGATTCCCCCAATGATTTCCACAATGGCCGGTTAGTGGCGGCGTAAATTTTTAAAGTAAGTATGGCAAACTGAAACCTTCAATTAAACTCAGCTTGTCTATACGTAAATTTTGATCTGTCAGGGAAAGACTAACGCGCGTGTCCCCCTTTTAAATAACGAAAAGCTATCCTATGTTTTTCAATGAGTCTTCAAATTATCTCTAGGTACCTATACTAAATTCTAAATCAGGAATTCAGTGGTTTAAGCGTGAAAATAGAACTTTCGCATTTCTAATAACCTATGGTATTGGATAACCCAATTTTAAGTTGTTGTTCTTGTTGTGAAGTTTTCTTTGACCACGATCTCTCTCTCTGATCACAAGTGTCAAAATACTGGTCAAAATTGAATTTAATAAATATTTTTGATTTGATTTTGATTTGACCAGCCATAATTTTATTCTCACTCACCTTAGGTTGATCAGACAGACGTCATAATACCGAAAGCTGTGAGAACACCACTTGGACACACTGTGACTCTCAAGTTCTCAACAAAGGCGCCAGGCACCGTGCGAAATTGTTATGAATGCACGAAAACACGAATTGTTGACATTTCCCTTCAAATGAACACGATTGTTGGACGTTTATATTCAACCATATTTGTATTGTAGATAAGAAAAATGTTTTTTACTTTGAAATCTATTGTACAGTCAGGTAGATATTGAGGTTGGTTCACTTCACCCTGAGAGGCTGACTTTTAATCATCAATTTATGTTAGCTCTTTTCGTAACGATTCTTATTCACTATTAAAATGTAATTTCAGCCATTTTTATTAGTGTTTAGTGCGGCTCTATAATTGGGGTAACAATAACTAACTAATTAATTAAGCCTTGTCCTCCAAAATATGAAGCCTGAATTCTGATTAGGGTAGGGTACTTAGCAGGCTAAAGGCTATGTTTATTTTATTTGAATTAGTTTTAATACATAGGTTCATATAAAACTTACCCTTACATACTAGTGGTTATGTAGAGTCTAGATCTAGGTCATACTCATGTATATTTTATACTTTTGGCAAACTTTTTCCTCTAATTTTGATCATACTCGTATTTATTACGTAAGTTGATTCTTCTATCTTATTGTGCCGAATAAACAAATCTTTATATTTTTGCATCAGACTGTACAGCTCAGTTTTGCAGGTATGTAGAGAAACTGTGGGAAGTACCTAACCTGCATTGTCAAAGAGTATAAAAACATAGTTCGGTTCGATTGAATCAAGCACCAAACTACCGGCACCATTGATATGAGTAGGTACACGTGCTCTTTATTGGGAAATGTTTTATTGTAGTTCACTGGTCTAGTGTTGAAAATATCCTAGAACACGTTTTATGTTGTGCAACTCGTTCAAAAGAGAAGATAATACATTTTTCTTTATATTTACATAGAAGTATCCGTAATACCTATTTACTAGTTTACAAACTTCAAGATGATTAATTTCCTAAACATCAACTTGCGCAGTAGGTAATTTACTCGTAGGTTCAATAACTATAAGCACATTTTGCTGAAGCTTCTCAAAAATCATTTATTCATAACTTTCTGTTGAGACCCAGGTTTGGTACCTTTTTTAACCCTTTACTGCCCGTTGGCACTCTTTTGAGCACGCAACCGGCACATAAAAAAATGTGTGACCCTCACCTGCCCCGCAGTATCACAGATTTCCACGCAGACTGGTCTGTCGTCCACGTCTACGGCAACTGGAAAGAAAACATCAAAATGTTAGGTTTTCATCTATCATATTAATAGTCGCCAAGTGACGATTTTGTACCAACGCAGTAGACTTTTAACTGGTAGAGATTTTACAAATCTTCTAACTTTGTATATATTAGTTTGTCGGATCTAATAGGTTCATTTTAAAAGACAGAAAGCCTGATTCTAATTGTAAAAGTAACATTGAACCTTGTAGCCAGTGGAGCATGGTTGCAGTGTCATTGGTACCGACATAAAACAAGAAAATCAAAGTCTTACAAATACTAAGAATGTAACCGTAATGGGATACTAGCGCTTCATATTTCAAACGATTTGTTCTACTGGACATAACGGGCAAAAACTACTGTAATATCAATAGCAGTCAGTCATTAGTACTCATTAGATAGTTTCGTTCATTGGCAAGCATCATTTTTGTTTTGTGGTAGGCTGCGTCGTTCGTCGGTCGTAGAATATATCCTTGGGGGAGCCCTTTGTCCAGCAGTGGACGTCATTTGACTGACAAACGAAGGCAATTCTCTCTCATTTTAAAATTTTATTGGCGTAGGACATTTTCCGAGGACATTTTCAAACTGGTGGTTTATGTCTCGCTCCGTTTCCGATAGCGTAGGGCTGTCACAAAGGATTAATGGAGATTTGAATTGAGATAAGTTAACTCAATTCAAACTTGATTGAATTAGTTAATTGAGCCCGTCTGTGGTGTCGGCAGTTGCTGAAGAACTCCGTATCACGCAGTAATTAGGTATAACATAATTATTTTATTTTATTTTTTCCTTTAATTTCCATTTCAAAAGCTCATCTTTAGTTTGTAATGAAACTGTGTAGTTGTTATTTTGCAAGTCTACCTTTTAAAAAAAATCTACTACGTATTGCTTTTACACATTCTATCTAAGGGCATTTGAAAAGCGTTATATTAACTACTTCTGCTTAAAACATGTATCAATCAGTTAACCGCAGAACTCATTGACGTTTTACAGTTATGTAAAAGGGATCAAGTTTTCTTACATAACAGTTCTACGTTACTAGAGACATTTCTTATGAGGTATTTTTTATTTGTGATGACGTAGACCTTTAGATCTTAGCGTTTCAAACAAAAACATGTTTCGTTATTATCGCTGTTAATAGCTGTTCGGTAACAACGGACTTGATTGAGTAAATTGCCTCATCCAAGTGTATGACAAACGTATTTGATTAATCTGTCCAACAGACGATCAGTAGACGTATTTTTGATTGTAATTCATTGATCTGACGACTGTGGTCTGCGACATATTAATAGGTAACAGCACGGCACAAACTTACTATACAATGAGTGACTTCCTCAATTCCTCATGTTCATATCATTTTATGACCTCTATATGTAAAGATTAAGTTTCTTAAAATTTTATAGCAAGTCAGTTTTAGATAGAGTCGTTAGCAGTTGCCTGTAGGTACTGTAACTGTGCTGTAAATTTTAACATCTTTTCCAATTAACAACATAATTAAAATTTTACTGATTAGAGCAGAAAATGTCAGTAATAAGAAAGGAACAATAGTTGAAATTCTCCCCTTTATCGGAATAAATCCTGAAGGATGTGCCAGTCTTCATCGAGTGGAATGGGCACGAACGAAGCCGTTTTTAAACTAGTTAACTCTAATACAACAACGGCATATAGGGTAAATGGGACAAGCCTTTTAATTAAAGAAGCGCGCCTAATGATACCCATTAGGAAAACTGAATAATGTTGCAAAAAACGCGTCTATTACTGTTCGCTGCCAATCATCTTCATTACGATTGTTAATTAACGATGCAATTAGCGCTCATTTTGTGGGTTATCGATGTCTGAATGGACTCGTTAATGGTTAAGTTGGTAAAGATTTAATCAACTTTTTCTCAATGGCATTTCACAGAAGTTCACGCTTTTTTTATCGTTAAAACGCATCTCGCGTGAACTGCCAGTATCACAGAATAATAAGAATAATAAGGTTCGCGAACGTTTAAAATATTTTTTTCGATAAAAAACAGATATTCCATAGACAATTATAATAAATATCTACTAGTTAATTGGGTATTAAGATTATACGATTATTATTATATGGTAAGAGAGATGAAACCTAAAAATCAACAGGATACTATTGAAAGATGAAGTAAAAACAAACAAGATTTAGTACGAGTATTATCATAATCAAAAATTAAAATCTCCATCAATAAGGATTTAATAAGTAAGTGACATTAATCTGTCCGCTAATTAAGTGAATAAAGGATTATTAAGTTCAAGGGAAGGTCGAAATTGTGAAAGAAAAAAATGCATTTAATAACAATGATTGTCATTATTTATTAAATTTAAATTGAATTAAGTACTTACTGGATTTTAAACAAGATTCAGTACGAGTTATTAAAGTACATAGTAGTTAACTATGCTTTTCCGACTTTTATATTTTATATTTAATTTTCATTTTTTAGTTTTTTAGTTTATGTCTAATGCTATTTTTCAACCTTCGTGTCGATGCTAAACAGAGACGTAGTTGTAGTACCTACCTACTTATATCAATGTCAAGAGAAGGTTGGTTTAATTTAAAATTTTTGAAATAAAAGTGACATCCCTACCACAGTGGACTCAACCACACATCCTGGGTTTTGTTGAAACCTGCGCGGCCAGACGGGTTGACAGTGATGCCACTAGCGAGTGACGTATTATAGTTTGTTATGTACCGTTATGTAATTAACTAATTCTGACATCCTCACTTGGATTTGCACATAGATAAGATTGATAAGAACTTTGTTGGAAAATAACCTTTACGACCTGGTTTTGTGGTATTAAACCGAAATATTATTTGGGAAAGTTTCTATGTAAATAGCTACATTAGGTGTTAAATCCTACACCAAAAAATACATTCAGCCGAACATAGAACCTCCTCCTTTTTTGAAGTCGGTTAATGAAGCTGATAGATGCTGTAGAAAAAAATAAATATTTGAGTTAAGAATAAAAGGTCGAGGAGAGATTTAAAAATAACACAAATAAACAACTTGTTTGTAAATAACTTTTGGTAATCTCGTGAAATACGATTAGCGAAATACCTATTTATACAAAATAAAACGTACTTCGGTCACTTTATTATTTCTCAGAACTTTCTATCGAAAGGCTCCATCTAAATTGCTTATCATTATAAATTGAATCCAAACACTTCAGTTGAAGAGCAAAAACAGTCATAGAAATCAAGAGTCAACACGTTTTTGTATTATTCACGCCTCATAGGTATCTAACTAACTACTTATAAAAAGTTCCAAGTTCGTTTTCTTTTATTGTATGACCTGAATCAGCAAAAGTTAACCTTAGTTTTTGGACAGAATGACCTATTAGAAGGGTTAAAACCTTAGTAGAGCGGTAACTAAGTCACGGTAATATTATCATGCAGTATTGTAACTTCATAATACCTAAACGGACGAAACGCGAGCTTTCCTTCGAAATTCAAATCTCGGTATGCGCTCGACATGCTAAAGTCGGGGGTGTCGCGAATGTGCCACAGCAATAAACGGACGATGTGTTGTTTTTGAAACTGTTTTTTTTAATAAAAATATTTACAAGTACCTATTTAGGTATACAGGGTGTATGATGATGTCAATTTTCTGACTACACCATACTATTTATATGCACATGTTAAAATGGGCTAGTGTCCACTTGTAAACCCATTTACCTAACATTCTGTATAATAATCAAGCATTTTGTACGCCTTAGTCGAGGCGCATACATTTTCGGTCGCAAGTTCATAAGATTTGTTACTAAATCTTAACACAAATATTTTTTTTAAATTAAATCTACTAATCACAAAACAACATGCATTTTTATCCTATTACATTCACAAAGTATTTTGTTTGTCAAAATAAAATAAAAAATTACAATCGCAAAATACATCCACAAAACTAGATAGAAATTCTAAGTAGGCAGATGTAATGAAAATAGGGTCTGCAAGTGGGTAGCCCTATCGCATGTTGTCATACGGTGACATACCGCGCGGTTGTTGACATTTATTTCAAAAATATGGCCGAGTTGGAATACTGTATAGATACTATTACCGTGACTAAGTCTTTAATGTAGATTCGTTAAGACTTCTTTTACTTTAAACTTAAATTTTAAGTAAATAAATGAGAATTTATTAAATTTTTCATGTAAAGATACAAGACTACTACAGATACCATAGAAACAGGAGCATATTACTATCTGTAATCCTACTGCTCCAAAAAAAGGCGGCAAAACGGAAGACCCCTCTTGTCACTGCCACAGATAAGTTACAATGTTGCGTCATTGCGTCAGAGACTACTAAACCACCGGCAGAGGTACAATAATTATTACATAAGGAATCGTGACACACGGCCACGGCTGCGGTGACTCACAGGAAGGGTCCAGACCAGACCCCTGGCCGATTAGTCAACGGTATAGCAAGATAAAAAAAAGAAAACACAGTGTAGGGTTAGGCAGTTAACTTTCAGAAACCATGGCGCATGACGTGCCGCAAAAAAAGAAAAGTAGTTCAAACTATGTATTGTTTGGTGACTTCCGAATGAGTCAACCGGGAGTATTTGGACCCCAGATATTTTTTTAATTTATCACAGACCATCTTAAAAACTTTGGTCAGATTGTGAACTGATAAAATTTAATAAGCGTCATCATGAATGTGAATATAGTAGCACAGCCTCACCGCCTCACGCATGACATGAGTAATGAACTCATGTGGTAGCAGCATACATTTATAGCATTTGCCTTCTTTACAAAAACCTTCCTTACTGAATCATTTTTCTAAAGCCTGCTATGTAATGTTGTAAGGGTATGGTTTTTCTTTTTCTTAACGAATTTCTGCTGTTACTGTTGATTCACAGTGCACACGTGGACAGTACTTCAGAATATACATTTTTGTTGCACAATAGCCTCTATTTCATAGAGGAAATACAGTCTATTACAACTACCTAAGATACTTACCACATTGTGCAGCTTGATATGCCTACGTCTGTACTTCC